CTTTCTAACTTTGTAATGTTCTTCTCAATGGTTTTGGAAATAGCCACTGTGTGGAAGCCTGTTACTTACTGAAGGAATGACAGAGGAATGAATTATGTGTTTTCCATACTTGAAAGGGCTGTAATCCAAAGCATTTTTATATCTGAATTGCAGTCCGAACTTCCATCCTGGGGAATTCTTATTATTCTTTCCTGCACATTATGTCTGTTAAGGTATTTGCTTGAAACAGGACAGAAATGAAAACACACAAAGAGATGAGCATCTTACACCTTTTACAGCTAGCTACCTTTTGTGATTTAGTGAATCCCATAAAGCATAAACTAGTTCATTCAATCTGTGACAAGTATATTAGGGACTGTAGCCTGCAGCCAAATGTGGTTTTTTTCTATAAACTGTGGCTAAGCAAACTATGGCTTAGCATAAAATACAAATAGGCTATGAAGCTGTGAGATACAAAGAGAATCTAGCCACCCACTCATCTGAATTTGAACATATTGTAACTTTCCAGATGATCTTGGCTCATAGTAATGAAGAGAGTTGTGTTTTATCACTTTTCTTCTCCAATTCCTTGTTCTATATGGGAACTAAGAGGGCAAGATCAGATGCTCTGTGAAAGCAAATTCTGGCTGTGACCCATTGTACCACATAGGGAGGAAATAGAAGTACCAGTCCTATGAAAAATCAGTCAGGAAATACAGCAGAAGGATTAAATGAATAAAGAAGTGGACTGATAAATTGCAAAATGATAATGTTCCGTTTTAATAATTGTTTAAAGTAGTAACCATTTGATATTTAATTCCATATTAGGTTATGGTGTATTTAACATTGGACTCACACTACACCATAAACTAATGTAAAAATTATGTTTATATAGGCACTTCTCAACTTATGGACGTTCATTTAATGACCGTTTGAAATTAGAGGAGCATTGAAAAATGACTTATGACTGCTACTCAAACTTACGACCATTCCAGCCTACTTGTAATCATATGAGCAAATTTTGGATGTTTGGCAACTGGCATGTATTTACAATGGCTTTATTTATTTATTCAGATAATTAATATGTCTGTCCCTTCATTTTCAGTGACTCTTTCAAGAACTGCCATTCATGACTTTCACAGAGGGTTTATGGGAAGCAACGGGGAAGCTGAAATTGTTTAATAACTGCATGATTCACTTAACCATGGCAAAAATAGTAGTGAATGGGAAACACTGAATAACTTCTCTGAATACCAATGAAAGTGATAGTCCAATTGTGATTGTAAATTGAGGATTACCTGCATGCTGCATTGAAGAGCAGCCAAGGAAACTACTTTATGGCTAAATACAATATATAATCTCAGCCAGAATGGCTAGTTGATATACCTCATTAGTGAAGAATTGTAGTTATTAGTGCAAGTTCATTTTTTTTATGCTGAAAAAATTCTTTTCTGCCTATTTTATAGAAATTCAATGTGTGTGTGTGTGTGTGTGTGTGTGTGTGTGTGAGAGAGAGAGAGAGAGAGAGATTTGACTGGTGTTACTAGATTTTTTTTAATTCTTATTGGTACAATAACAAAAACAAATCTCAGTAAATAGATGGTCAGATACAAATCCTACAAATTTTATATTTGTAATAACAAATTGCAAGAAAAATATATGCAGCTTATTTAAAGCATTAATTCTCCCCAAAACTATGCCTACCTGACTTTGGACATTTCCAGTTGTTTATGAAGATTAACCATTTATTTAGGTGACAACATAGGTCATTCACTATCTGTAAAACATTTTGCTGGCTACAGTATTAATCAAGCACAGATTAAAGGAACAGAATTAGGTACTGGGTTATGAAATCTTTCAAGCAGTACAAATATACGACTTTATGATTAGGTAATGATGAACTTGGAAATCTTTTGCAATTACAGGTATCATGTTTTAGCACCGGATTAGGGCATAGGGAATAATGAACATACAAATCCTTATCATATGAATAACAGATAGGAATAATTTGCAGTATTGCTACATTGATTACATAAATGAAGATCTAAACTAAAACGTACATTTTAAAATAAGATTCTTATTATGTAAAGCTATTTCTCATATTTAATATAACTTCAATTCTTATTCATACAAATTACTCCCAGCTCATATCTGGATGCAATTTCACTTTACTGTGAATTACTGCCAAGGCAAATGGTATTGCCCATCCCATTCTCACCCTGTCCAATCTTATTTAATGAGATTCAAACAAGAAACCTCTGGGTGTGTTCGGCTATAGAGTGGGTGGAGTTCTTTAGAGAAAACAAAAACATGATCTGCCTGCTAATAACATTGGATCAGTTTCTTAATTTCTTCTAAGAATTTAATTTTTTGGGATACTGAAACAATCTTTTAGTCAGTAAGGGAATCCCAGCCTTTGAGATCTGTTTCTTTATTTTTAAATTGTAATACAAAGAATCTTAACAAAAGTTAACATTCATATGGAAGGCATCACAGCATAAATACTGTTTTCTATGGTTACCCATAAATTTTAATGAATGATGGTTGTACATATAAATAGGTACTATTAGAGATTAGAAGAAAGATTACTGCCAATATCCTCATTTGACTAGTAAATGAAGGAACTTTTTTAAGGAAAAGTGACAATATTATTAATTTTCCTAGACCACACAAATAGATACGATTTCCTTTTTAAAAATAAATAAATTTTATTAAGTTTTCAAATTTTAAAAACATAAAACTATACATTGTTATCAACATCAAGACATCTTTTGCATCTCCTCACATTTTTCAGTATATGTATTTACTTATTCCTTTACCATTACATCTTATTCTTGCTATAAATCAATATCTTTTATCCTTACATATCAATCTTCTCCATGGTATATTTACATATTTACATATTCCCTCATTATTTTCCTAATTGCTATTTTATTTTATTTTTATTTCTAAACCACTCATACAAGGCATCCCAGGCCCTATAGTAAATTGAATCTTATCTGTCTTTTATTTTCATCATTAGCCTGTCCATCTCTATACAATCTATTTTTTTTTATAACCATGCCTTCCGGTGGAACCCTTCTTTTCTTCCAGAGTTGTGCATATGAAATCCTTGCAGCTGTTAATATGTGTAACATGATATATCTATCTGTTTTATTGCATTTTTTGTTGTTATACCTAATAAAAAAGTTTCTGGATTAAGTTCAATTTTCTGATTCATGATTTCTTCTATTCATTGTCTAATTGTATTCCAATATTTTTTCACTACCTGGCATGTCCACCAGGTATGAATATAAGTGCCTTTTTCTTTTCCACATTTCCAACAATTTGAGTCTAAATTAAACATTTTTGCCAGTCTAGTGGGGGAAGGTGCCATCTGTAGAACATTTTGTATTGATTTTCCCTGTATCCTGTGGATGCAATTAGTTTGTAATTTAATCCCCACATTCTCTCCCAATTTTCCAGGTTTATATTATGGCCAGCATTTTTCACCCATACCAAAATAGATATGATTTCCATTCAACCCAACCTCAGCATTTGTACCATCAGGTAGATCAGCACATTTTATTCAAGGAAATAAAAATATTAGGCTGTAACATCATCCCATAATCCCTTGACAGTGATGTCAAGATTTGGAGTTTATCAATATAGAATAGAATAGATAGAATAGAATACTTTATTGGACCAGTGTGATTGGACACACAAAGAATTTGTCTTGGTGTAAATACTTTCAGTATACATAAAAAGATACATTCGTTAAGAATCAAGAATCATAACATACAACACTTAATGATAGTCAAATCATACTAAGAAAAAGTCAATATAAATTGTAAGGATACAAGCAACAAAGTTACAGTCCTACAATCACAAGTGGGAGGGGATGGGTGATAAGGAGTGATGAGAAGATTAACAGTAATAGTAGTGCAGACTTTGTAATAGTTGAACAGTATTGAGGGAATTATTTGTTTAGCAGAGTGATATATACCCAATAGCACTAGCAATAGCATTTAGACTTATATATTGCTTTACAGGGTTTTACAGCCCTCTCTAAACAGTTTACAGAGTCAGCATATTGCCCCCGACAATTTGGGTCCTCATTTTATCCACCTCAGAAGGATGGAAGGCTGAATCAACCTTGAGTCTGGTGAGATTTGAACTGCCAAGTTGCAGGCAGCTGGCAGGCAGCAGATGTAACCTGCAGTACTGCCCTCTAACTGTGTCATTGTGGGTCATTGGGCCATTGACTTCAATAAGCAAAGAAAAAAACATAAAGGAAATCCAACAAGAAAATGGAAGGAAGCTTAAAGGAGAATTCAAATAACGAGAATGTTCATTTAGCATTGGACTTAGTGTCTACGCTTCATTTATTGTGATTTCTCTTCTGTAGCAAATTCCATATTGGAGACCACAATAATAGAACCCAAACTCTGATCATATTGTAAATACGCAAATTTAGAGAAATTCCCTGGCCATTTACTGCAACACAGTGAGATATTCCTTTCACCAGAAATGATGGGTGGGAATATTACAGGCCAATATCCTTTTGGAAGGACGTGGCATTCGGGAACTACTACAGCCACATTCTGTGGCACTAGCCTATGTCATTTTCATCAAGGACTCCACCTCAAACCCTTAAAATGGATGATGCTGGAGGAATGGGAAACCTTGCATTTTTAACAGACTGCCTTAATTTCCATACACTAATATGTTAGTTGTGTTTCGAGTTCTGTTTACAGAAGATATCTTCTAATAGACTCCCATTAGTTAAAGATGCTCAATGGTGCAAAGCATATTTTTACAAATAACATCTTCAAACCAATTCACAATTGCAAAAATATCCCCCTGTGCAGTTTAAAATGACTCTTACATTAAGCCGAGAACCGAGACCATTCATTCTGGACAGTGAACCACCATTTACTTAACGTTATCTCTTTGATCTTATGCCTAAAGCTTTCCTCCTGCAGGAACATATCGAGACTCGAATCCTCCCCATGTCATATGACGCCACGCCTGCTAAACTAATCGCATTCCGAAACTAATTGTTTTCTAGCCTGTGAATTGAACTTTCTTCCAGTTGACAGAGCTAAAATATCTCCGTATCCACATCGGATTGTCTGTCTGCTTCCTGCTTCGCTTCAAAGAGGGGGCGCTACTTTATAGAAGCCGGGGTGCAAACGTTTTAGGCCCACAAGCATGGCAGCCACTGCCGCGACCCCTAAACAGTCTCTCTCTGTTTTTCAGGAGTTCCGCGCCATATTTTACGTTCTTGGCCCCAACGAGAGCTCTTTCCGCAGCGTCGAGGAAGTTCCCGATTACGTGGACAAGGTGAGAGCTCCTAATCCCACCTTCTTAAATGCCCCCCTCTCCTTTCTGTGCAACAAATTGCTGCTACAGTTGCGAAGCTTGCTGCGTTTAGAAAACGCAGCGGTTTGCGAATGTCTGGGTTAAAAACGGCACCTTGAAAATTCAGTTTTGAATCCTCAACATGGAACGAAAAGTTCCTCTGGAATTTTTTTTTTTTTTCAGTTTTAGCAAGTGTTTTCTCCAGATTCTTTCCTCCCATCCCTACTCTCCCGCCTCTGCGAGTAGAAGGAAGTGTTTATGAAATCACCTAATCGCTTGTAAGAAGACTTTGTCTTTTGGAGTTGGGCAGTAATCTTTAGCCAACCTTAGTTGATTCCCAAAGAAGCTGCGTTTGAATGGAGATTCAGGACTCGTGCTCGTGATTAATCTGGGAATTTAAAAAAATAATACCCCAGGAGGGGGAAAAAACTGGTGTTAAGAAAACTACATGAAGATGTTTAATGAAGTCACCAGGAATCAAACTGAACTGAAAGGAAACTTACCTTACTTAAAGGGATGTAAATTTGCCCTGATTTCTTAATTGTGTTTTGTGTTTTCCTATGCTACGTTTCTTTATTATTTTTAAGCCAAATCACGGCTTAGAACAATGTAGAAATCCAGTTCTGCCTTTCACAGCATATTTTCCATTTCTCCCTAAGGAGAATCTGAGGTTATATCTATAAGTATAGATAGAATGCAAAGAAGTACTATCACTGAAAAGTAAAACACTGCACTGGTTGATAGGAAACAGTATGCCTTTTTGTCATGTTACTTCAAAACATATTAATTCTTTATTAATATTGGTGCAAATGGTTATTAGTCCAAATTAGTCAAAATTCAGTGTTTTCAATCTTTTTGAATTTTTTCAAGGATACTCTCACAGAATGCATTGCAATAATTCAATACAATCAGCTAAGAAACATCTGGTTTCTTAGCTGATAATTCTTAGCTCAATGCAACTATATGTATTAAAAAGTTAATTTATGCAGCACTAGATCTGTGATGGCACTTCCAAAGCAGTCTGGAAAACATTATATTAGTGTGATCACTTGTTATGGCTATATATAAAGAGTCTTTTCCAACCTGTGCTAGAATTAAAGCTCCCAGAATGGCAAGCTATCATAAGGACTAAAGTAGGCCATCAGAAATTTCACAGAACGCAAGTGTTTTGAATGGAAGAGGAGACATATGTTAGGAGTCTAACCCACTCCCCATTCCCCCTGCAATTGAAATAGGGGAAAAAATCTAGTTGGCATTAATTGGCATCTTTTCTCCATTAAAAAAAAATCAGTTGGCATTGATTGGGATATATTCAGTATTCTAACCCTGGAAATGATTAGGATTTTTAAATTGAACTTTGAATGATGTCATTAATTACCTCTTTCCTGTGGCCTAATATATAAAGATTGTTTTCCTGCCCTTAATCAGAATCAGATATGAATAATACAGATGCATGTTACATATTTTCTGACCATGAAGGGCCAGAATCAGAGGTGGTATTCAGCAGGTTCTGACCAGTTCTGGACCCATAGTGGAAATTTTGAGTAGTTCAAAGAACCGGCAAATACCACCTCTGACTGGCCTCAACTCCATCTGCCTCCATCTGCTGATCTGCTGGGTCTTCTTTTGTTGCCCTGCACAGGAGAACTGAATTGGAAAGCAGGTTAATGGGGTGGGGAACGAATGGGATTTTGCAGTAACCTTCCCCCAGGAGTGAGGAGAGAATGGAGATTTTACACTATCTTTCCCCTGCTACACCCACCAAGCCACAGCCACCAAGCCATGCCATGCCCACCAAGCCACACCTACAGAACTGGTAGTAAAAAATTTTGAATCCTACCCCTGGGATTCATGTCTTTGGCTCTAGATCAGGCTGAATAGAGATGTACATGGATTGAGTTTTCAGCATCTTTTGTAAACAACAATTTATCTACAATGATACACCCATTAAGATATATGGATAATGCTGTATATAATGCTGTATAAGTAATACCAAAATATGTGTGTTTGAATTTACATCAGGGGTGTCAAACTCATGATTCACGGGCCAGATGTGTCACATGCTGGCCAAACCCACCCCAGTTTAGTGAAGGGGGAAAAAAGTCATGATATATCATGTAATGATATGATGGCATGAGTTTGACACCCCTGGTTTAGATCATTACTGGACAGCAAAAACTTAATTTTTTACTTTGTTGATGTCTGTTCCCTTTCATTTAGGCAACTCCCTTGTTCATTACACTTATTTTGCTGGAGATCATAATTAAGTGGGTCCAGAAGAAACATTTCTCATTCTTCTATAACGATGATATAACATCTTTATCTGCAGGTATCTTCTCAAGACTCCCAGAGTAAGTTCAATCTGTTGTATAGTTTGGTTGACTCAGATTTAGAGAGGAGAAATGGAAAATTATGAAATTCCATATATAAGTACCCGCGAAAACTTAAACTTATCAATCGCTTACAAGATAATAGGTATAACTATATACATAGTTATGAATACATGAAATGGGTACATATGAGAAAAATAAAAGTAACAATAGGACAGGGACAGTAGGCATGTTGGTGCGCTTATGCACGCCCCTACAGAGCTCTTGGGAAAGGGGTGAGGTCAATAGTAAACAGTCTAAGGTTAAAATTTTGGGGGTTTGGGGAAGAAACCACAGAGTCAGGTAGAGTATTCCAGACATTGACCACTCTGTTGCTGAAGTATTTCCTGCAATCAAGTTTGGTGCGGTTAACCTTGAGTTTGTATCTGTTGTGTGCTCTTGTGTTGTTATGGTTGAAGCTGAAATATTCATTGACAGGTAAGTCGTTGCAATGTATGATTTTATATACCATACTTAGATCAGACCGAAGACGGTGTAATTCAAGGTTTTCTAGGTCTAGAATTTCAAGTCTGGTGGCATAAGGTATTCTACAAGAGTAGGGGAGTGGAGAACTCTTCTTGTGAAATATTTCTGGACTTTCTCAACTGTGCTAATATCAGATACGTAATGTGGGTTCCAGACTGATGAGCTGTATTCGGGTATTGGTCTAGCAAATGTTTTGTATGCTCTAGTTATTAGTGTGATATTACCAGAAAAAAAACTACATAGGATTAGGTTAACAACTCTTAATGCCTTTTTGGCTATGTAGTTACAGTGGGCTCTAGCACTTAGATCATTAGAGATGAGTATTCCAAGGTCCTTTACAGAGCTTGGATCATCAACAAGATCTTGACTATTCAGCTTGTATTTTATTTTCTGATTTTTTTTTTGCCAATATGTAAGACAGAGCATTTATTTGTTGAGATTTGAAGTTTCCATTTGTTTGACCATTCTGATACGTAGTCAAGATCTTTTTGAAGGGTAGCAGTATTGTCTGTGGTATTGAACAGCTTTACATCATCAGCAAAGAGAACGCAGTTGCTCTTAATATGATCACAGAGATCATTTATGTAGAGTATGAAGAGAGTTGGTCCTTCATAGAGTATGAAGAGAGTTGGTCCTAGTTGGCCTTGGGGGACATTACTATTGACAGGTACAGAATTTGATAGGACACTCCCAATTTTGACCATTTGTTGTCTGTTTGACAGGAATACTTCTATCCAGTTATGCAATTTTCCAGAGATACCATAAGATTTTAGTTTTAGGAGTAGTTTGTCATGTACCACTGAATCAAAGACTTTACAGAAGTCTATATAGATTGTGTCTATTGTTATGCCCTGATCAAGTTGTGTGGTCCTTATGTTTTTGCAGTGTAAGAGTTGCAGATTACAGGATAGTTTTTTCCTGAAACCAAATAGTTTATTAGAGAGTAGGTTGTTTGTCTCTAAGTGGAGGGTAATGGATTGGTTAATAATTGATTCCATGACTTTACAGGTGACCCAGCATAAGGAGATTGATCTGTAATTTTCAACTAGGCTGGGCTCTCCCTTTTTGAAGATGTTGTTTACCATGGCTTGTGAGCATAGGTTAGGCAAGGAGCTGGTCCTGAAAATTTTTTTCAAAGATTATGCTTAGAGGTTTTGCTATGACAGTGGATAGCTTTATAAAGAAGTAGGCACGTATTCCGTCCAGTCCAATAGTTAGAGATGGTTTTAGATTGGGTAGTGCTTTTACAACATTGTCTTCTGTAAAATTGATATGTATTAGATCATTGTAGTTTTCTGTGGTTCGGCTAGGAAATACTGGGCATGATCCACTGATGTTTACAATATATACGCACATACATGTGTGTGTGTATGTGTATATATATGTGTGTGTGTGTGTGTGTGTGTGTGTGTGTGTGTATGTATGTGTGTGTGTATATATATATATATATGAGGCTTATGAAAACCATTTAGAAAAACTGCACATAAAATAGCTTATTGTATATTATAATAGCTTTAAAAAACTATTGACACATGTAGCTAATAATATGCTACAGATCAGAGGTGTCAAACTCAAGGCTTGCAGGCCAGACTCAGTACACAGAGTGCTTAAATCTGGTCCATGGGGCCAGCCTGGAAATAGCATAGGACCAGCCTGTGGTGCTTCTTGCAGCCAAAATGGGGTTTGGAGGGCTGCATGCAGGAGGCTGTCGAGACTCCACGCATCCCCTGTGCCCCATTTTGCCCATCAGGGTCATGTCTCCCCACCCCCCCACCCCCGGTTGGATCACAGAGAAGTACAAGGCTGATCTGGCCTTCGAATAAATCCAGTTTGATACCCTTGCTATAGAAGGTTCTTCACATCTATTTCAAGTTATGTTCCAAACTCATGTAGAGCACTTATGTCAAATATTTAAAAGCCTTACAATGAAACTAGTTAGCAGTTTAATTAATTCAAAAGTAAAAAATGAATTATTTATTCATAGAGCACTTAGTTGTACAAACAAAGAAATAAAAAGACCATTTATCTGTATTTGTAATTCAGACATTTGAATCTTAAAAAATAGTGAAGCCAATTTATGGAAGTAAAGCTATTTGTTATTTCTATTCTTCTCTGCAGTCTGTGATACTCAGAAAGGTGGAATCCTAATAAACAGAGATAGCACTGATAATGAAGAAATAGGAAATGGAAAAATTGCCTTTTTTTAATTCCATTTAAATAATCTTAAAATATAAACACCAAATTACTTTAGATGGTCCTTAATACACACAGGCAAGAGACCACACCCAAATAATGAAGAAGCATATTTTTATAATCAACCTACCCTTGTCAGCCCAGTTGATAGGCCCGGTCTGATCACATGCTTTCCGATCGTCTAGAACTGTGATGGTGAACTAGAATTATGGCATGCGTGCCACAGGTGGTACACAGAGCCATTTGTGCCGGCATGCGAGCTGCAGGCAAACTTACCTCACTGCATATATGCATGCCTCACAGCTGATTTTCATCTGGTTTGAAGCCTTTTTTGGCCTCCCAAAGGCTTGAGGAAGGCTTCTGCAGGCTTCTACAAGCTTTGCAGGCCAAAATCTAGCCCAATTCCATCACCTCTGGTATTTTTGGAAATACAGGAAGTGACAAAACAAGGCTAGATTTTGGCCTACAAAGCTTGTAGAAGCCTGCAGAAGCCTTCCTCAAGCCTTTAGGAGGCTGAAAAAGGACTCAAACCAGCTGAAAATCAGTTGTGAGGTGCAGCACAGGTAAGGGGGTGGGGTGGGTGGGGTTGCGCGCACATTCGTAGGGATGTGGGGGGGTGCACATTGCCTTCTGGGTGCTGGCATGTGACGAGTGTGCAAGGATATGCACAATTTTTGGCACAGGAGCCCAAAAAGTTTAGCCACCACTGGTCTAGAATCTATTATAAGCCCTAAACATTTAAAGTTAGTTAAGCCCTTACTGTCACCGAAGCGTGCTCAACATTAACCCGTCCTCATGTCTCCCTTATCAGTTCTCCTATTTCAAAAGAATTGCAACATAACTGTGGAAAAGAACATTTCCCAAGTGAAAGAAACATTCATGAAAGAAAAACATCAAAGCAGATACATTCTTGCAAACTTGACTATTTTCTTTGTTCATGGAGGCTTGAGAACAGCTACAAATGCTACAATGTATTAAATGGTCTCTTGCCCAATCTAGTCCTGGAAAGAGAGGATTTTCTTGAAAGTTAAGGCTTATGGGAAATCATCAGCAATACAATTGAAAAGCAAATTTAAATATGGCTGTACCTTGGATAAGTAGTTCATTAACTATATGCTAGTCTATATAAAGAAAAATTACAACTTATTATATTGTATCCCACAAAAGCATATAAGTAAACATGACAAAGAGAAAAACCCAGCATAATCAAGTAAAAGATGCTGTTATGTCCTTACAGAAACCTGAGTAATAATGAAAAGAATAAGAGCACAAAAAGAAGGGAAAAAGAGATTATTAAAGGAAAGTACACAAAGGGAGCCTGGATTTGTAGACAACAAAAGGGTAGTTTTAAACAGTTTGTTTATTTTATTCAAAATAAAAGGAAAAGAAACAGCATGGCTGCTACTTTTATGGTAAAATATTTATCCATGTAGTTGGAAGGAGTTAAGATTCACTTCAATTCTCACCCACATACATCTACTGCTCAGTTTGATAGTGATATACAAGAGGATTCTATAGCAGATCATAAAGTAATTGGTTTGCAAGCTTCTTGGAAATAATCAGTGATTAAGACAGTATGATTGCCAAAAGGGTAGTTCAGTCAAATTGAAATCAGGCTATACAATTTGAATATCATTCTAACAATCTACTACCAAATAAAATTAATTGGAGAAACTATGTCATATCCCTCTGAGTACTAGTTCATTCAATACTATTATTAATTCAGTCCACAATTCGTTTATAATCTATGGTTCCCCAACAAACCTGAGCACAGCATTAATGGATTTCACAGGCCAGCTTCCAGGAGGGTATTCATCAACAGTTTCTTTAATGATTTTGATGAGGAAATATCTACATATGTAATTCTTACCAAATTTGCAAATGATAAAAAGGGTGACAAGGCATATCTCTATTGGCTTGTTAGAAACTGACATGAATAAACTGTTCTGCATAAAATACAGTATATTTTATAGTGAAAAAAAGTTCCAAATTATTTTACTTCATCTTGGTCATCCAATGTGACAGACTTAAAGACACTGTTTTTTGGAACAAAAGATTGGTTTCCATATTTCTTTAATAACTTAAGAGATAGAAACAGTTGAATATAATCTTTATAGACTAGCTGATGGGCTAAAAACAGCATAATGAAGAGTAAGTGAAATTTCAGTAATAAATCAGATGCACCAGTATAGAATATGAGAACAGCTTAGTAATAAAGGACATTGTAATTGTAACTATTCAACTGTTCAAACAGTCATTAAACGTAAGTCAAGGACTTACTCCTGTAATCATTGTCAGGATTG